GCTGAGGCACAGCTTATTAGCTCCAGGAGTAGCCGAGGTTTAGCTTATTAGCTCCAGGAGTAGCTGAGGTTAGCTTATTAGCTCCAGGAGTAGCTGAGGTTAGCTTATTAGCTCTAGGAGTAGCAAAGATTTAGCTTATTAGCTCCAGGAGTAGCTGTGTAGCTGATTAGCTTCTGAAGTAGCAGTGTAGCTGATTAGCTACGGGAGTAGCAGTGTAGCAGATTAGCTCCGGGAGTAGCAGTGTAGCTGATTAGCTCCAGGAGTAGCTGTATAGCTAATTAGCTTCTGGAGTAGCTGTGTAGCTGATTAGCTCCAGGAGTATCTGTATAGCTGATAAGCTCCAGGAGTAGCTGTGTAGCTCATTAGCTCTGGGAGTATTTGTGTGATTTAGATGTTTCTGAAGGCAGCCTCTGCATGAAGGAACCACAAGATGGGGTCCTCTGTCCAAAAATCCGGGAGCTTGACGGAGACTTTGGCGATGTACTCGGTTGGAGTTTCTTTCTGGTCCGTCATGATGTTCGGATGTATCACTTAATGTTCAAAGTTTAAGAAAATCACGAAACTGGATAGCGTTTAACTGTATGTTCAAAGTCGGGGGTCACCAATATAGAGGACGTGAGTCAGACTCTAATAAAAACGCATAAATAACTTCCAGTATATATATTTCTTTTAACTTATAACTAGAGGGTTCAGAACATGAGTCTATCTTGACATCACACGTGTAGACTGTCTGTCAGTACAATGCCCCTTATCCATTCTATCTCATTCCATTGAATCTTGTGGAACTTGTTTAAGGCAGCCAGGCATCATCTTTCACACACCCTTATAATATAAATATAAATAACTTTTAGAGAAAAATAAATAAAATAAAAGTTTTAAACAATTTATCAATTTTATTGTTTTTTTGATAAAAGTTAAATCTGGATTGGATAAAAATACCTCTGCAGGAAGCTCCCTTGGCTTGTTGGCCCACTTCTTGGCCTCAAGGTACTTCTTCTTTCCCTCGGTCGCATGCTTGTTGAGCAGATACACCTCATACTGCACGTCCTCGATCCAAAGTTCCTCCAACTCTGTCCATATGGACTTCCCCCCAAACAAAATCCCCAATGGGGTTAAATGTTGGTTTTGGAAGCCTGAAAGTAATTGAAACGTAATTGTATTTATCGGTTAAACCTGAAGAGAATTAATTTCAGACTAAGAGGAAATGTTTTCTAATGTTTGTTAGGCCAGTATTTTCCTCCCTATTATTTATCTAAAGCTGATTGAGTCTGTCCTAGAGAACAATCCCCCACCCCCAGCTCCAAGGGCTCAGTAACATTATGGCTGGTTACCGAATGCCTAGTTTGTGAATGCTTAGTTCATGAATGACAACATTCATAATGCCTAGATAACATTCTGCCTATAATTCTTAATGTCTAGTTATGAATGCCCACCCCCCACCCCCTGCTATCAATTTTTTACATGGATCTCATTTGTATCAGGGTATATAATTTTAAGTTTTTTATTTAGCCGGCCGCTGCGATAACGACCGATCAGGTCCGTCCTAGTATTCAATTTTTGGACCCCCCCCCCCAGTGCTTAGGATCCGGTTCCAGATCCGTTGGATCCAAAAGATTTTGGCTTCCTGGATCCGGATCCGCAAAAATATGCGGATCGACGTATCCGGATCCAAGGTGTAAAACATCAACCAAAAACTCCAAAAAAAATCTATTTTACTCCAAAACCCAAAATCTGAACATTTGAAAAAAAGATATAAAAGTTTCCTCATTTCTGAATGGTTCATGGTTTTAGGATAAAAATAAGCAAGTAAAATAAAACCAAATATTTGAAATTTTTTTTTTTTTTTTAATTTCATTAAATCTTAAAGAAATAACCTCAAACTGGATCCATTTTTTTCCAGTGTGGATCCAGGATCCGGATCTGTATCAAAATTGAATGGATCCTAAGCACTGCCCCCCCCCCCCAAGCCCACCCTCCAATCATTTTATTTTCAGCAAAATTATAAATATTTATTTTTTATTATTTAGGGTTAGGTTATTCCTGGGCTAAGCACTGTGGCCAGGAAAGAACTTTAATTTCAAAAACCCGCATCCACGTAACCTGCTACCTTGGAAGTAGATCTCGGTAGTTGTAGTATAAAATGTGCTACTTGGTGTTGAATGCTGTCTAGCTTGTTAACTACTCCGTTGGTTACCATCATCTTTCCCATAGTGTGTGTGCTACCAGCGCACGGTCCAGTCCAGCTCTTGTTACGCCCATGATAGTGTTAGCATAATTCTTTGCAATTTTCAACATACGATCCTCTCTAGCCTTGACAAGGTTCCTACCTTTAACCTGTATGTCTACTCCTAGGTACTTACCAACCAGAGTTGCTTCTAGGTCTAGTGTTCCCGGTTTTATATTTCCAAACCTGCCCTTCTTGGCTGTTGGAAAGGATTACTGTTTTCTCAATAGACAGCTTCATATATACCCCTTTACAGAACCATGACACCTCCTTCAACATGTGTTCCATTCCTCTAACCATGGTCCTTGAGATCAGGACTAAGTCATCCGCAAAAAAAAATGCAGATACCACTTGTCCATTGAAGTTCACACCTACCTTCATGGCATGTAACTTTTCTCCAAGCCCAGCCATGTAGAGGGAGAACATTAGATGTGAGAGTCCGCACCCCTGCTTTACGCCTTTGGTAAACCAGAGTGGCGCCGTCAAGCCTCCTTTTATCCTTACCCTTACACTGTCATTTAAGTACATAGATTGAATAAGTGACTTGACTCTTCCACCAAATCCAATGGTGTCTAACTTTGTGTATAGCAGTTCTCGGTTCACAGAATCATACGCCTTTGCAATTTCACAAAAAGCTATAGTCAATGTATGTCCCTTCCTTTTTACCTTCTTAATTGCTGCCAACAACATAAACACACAGTCTGATGTTGACCGGCCCAACCGGAACCCATACTGTACTTTACCATAGTACCCATTCTGCTCACAAATTTTGTCCATTCTCCCATGCATATTTTTCGTGATTACACTCAAAAGTACACATGAAACTGTCAATGGACTCTTTTGTGAAACAAGTAGCGAGGTTGACTTTTTATCGATCAGAGTCATTCCCCCCACTAGCAGTGTCTCTGGTACTTGGCCCTCCAAGAAAAGGTTGTTAATCAGCTCAGTTAACAAGGTTATGAAGCATGGACCGGCATATTTAAGCATGGCTACTGTTAAATTGTCTACTCCAAGAGCTCTATGTAGCTTCATTTTTTCGACAACTGATTTGACCTCTACTTCAGTAGTCCGTCTGCATACTTCTTCTTCATGGGCATTGCTGTCTACTGAATCTTTCATCCATTCTTGCCACCCAAGTAGCAGTTTTATATCCAGTTCTTTGATGAGCTGTTCTCCTCTAGGAGTGAATTTATCCTCCAGGTCATCTTCTAGAACCAAGTCTAGAGCAGACACTGAGTTGGCGATCATTCGAGTGAATAAACCTTCACATATTCTTCTGCATTGTTGAAAGAACAAAGACATGAAGGTGTGAGGCCAGGGAGGGTTTTCTTGCCATGAGTCATCCATACTTTAAATATTACATTATCAACCTGACACTCAGAATCACTTGAGATCTCCTATTGTCGATCACTCCAGGTCAACTAGCGTCACCCCATGCCGCTCAACTTTATCAAATACTCAAACCAGCTCTCCCAGCGTTCCAAGACCTTCAACACAACCTACCAAGCTAGTGCGCCCTAACTCCTCCAATTCTACTTGGTCCCGGAGTTCTCAATCTCAATCCTCAGGTTCGCGATCTGGCTCACCATCAATCCTTAAGTTCTGTATCCCTGACTGATGTGCATACTGATGTGCATCGCCCTCTATCCTCAAGTTCTGGATCCCTGACTGATGTGCATCGCCCTCAATCCTCAGGTTCTAGATCCCTGACTGATGTGCATTGCTCTCAATCCTCAGGTTCTGGATCCCTGAATGATGTGCATCGCTCTCAATCCTCAGGTTCTAGCTTAACTGATCTGGCTCCTCAATCCTCAAGTTCTGGACCCTCGACTGATGTACATCGCTCTCGACCTTCAGGTTCTCATTCCATGGCTAATCTGACTCGATTGAGCTTGACACAGCTTCCTATACCAACTGAAGACGGCTTTAAGGGTTTGTATAAAAGCTTTTTAAAAAGAAATTCATAATTTTAGTATTTTTTATTACTTGCAGTTTTCCTGGCTTTGATCTCTGTACACTTAAATTCTGATTACTCTTTTACCCATATTTTCCAAAATTTACTACATTTTCTGTATAAAAGAAAGGCTGTGGGATATTGACTTCAATTAAGATTAGAAGACTTGAAGATTTAGATATCAATTTCCTGCGGAATTCGGGAATATTTAAACAATATGACAAGCATTTGAGAAATACGACACGAGCAGCACTGAAGAATCTTTAAATTATCCAACCCATTGTCAAATATTTTATTTAGATGCTAATTAATGAGTTGTTTAGGTGAGGTACTACAGTGGCTGAGGCAGATTGACCGGAAGGTCGAAGTTTCGTTAGACGAAATAAGAATGCTACAGGGATTGGTCAGAAAGAAATATCACCCATGATTTTTTTTAAGTCGGCAAAAATAATTTGTAAATTGTAAATTGTAAATGCATATGTATCACCCAAGTTTTTTTTTAAGTCGGCAAAAATAATTTGTAAATTGTAAATTGTAAATTGTAAATGCATATGTATCACCCATGATTTTTTTTTAGTCGGCGAAAATAATTTATGATTTGTAAATTGTAAATTGTAAATTGTAAATTGTAAATGCATAAGTATCACCCATGATTTTTTTTTAAGTCGGCGAAAATAATTTGTAAATTGTAAATTGTAAATTGTAAATGCTTGAGTAAATTATAATTAATGCATAAGTATCAAAAATACTTATTTTTACGTTGGCAAACAGAAAAGGATTTTTATATAATTTTTTTAGAACAAAATTGTAAATTGTATGAAAGATTTATTAGTAGTATACACACATAATTTATCTAATTATAGGTTATCTAAAAATTATAATACACATATCTAACGGTCATATCATTTAAAAAAATTGTTAATATTTTGACATATTTACAAATAATATTAGATTAATCCAACGGTGAGATCATTAGTTTGTCTCTATTGACTTGGGGGAGGTTAGGCTTTATGTTATTGGCATAACACCACTAAGTATATCTATGTCAATCCTTTATAAGACAATGGAGGAAGAAATGGTGTTTTCTTTTGCTCATTGAATTCAAAATTTTTTTAATTTTCCAAGCCAGACAAATGTCTGCTCTGCAGACTCAGTATTGGGGTGAGGAAAAGTCTTCCTCAAATTATCAATTATAACAGGATAATCTTTTCTGCATTTGTCTCTGACATGGTTCTAAATAAATAAGATCCTTTTTCTTAAGAAACGCAATTCTAGGTTAAAAATTCAATTTGCATACCTTTATGTGAAGGGCATCAACTCCCTTGGATATAGAATTAAACACTGCCAGCCCTAGTTTGGCATCTGGAGTTAGTTGGTCCATATCACAATTCCATAGTTTCAATCTTTCCAAGTTACACTATAAATGATGAAATATCAATTATTATGGGCAAAGAAATATACATTTTAAGGGAATTGCATCTTTGCCACAAACTCTAGTATTCAATTTTTTGGCAAATTTTTGTGTAAAATATCAATATTAAAGTTTGAAGTATCTAAAGTTTGCACATTTTACATCAGGGTTGCAACCCTATAGGGATTAGACAATTTGAGGTTGTGGCAAAAACTCAATTTTTTTTTCTATTTTTAAATGATATTTCACCATGTTGTCATAAAACAAGTATGTATTATCAATGTTCTCATATTCACGCATATACAGTTCTAGATATTTGATCGTAGGTATCGCAACTTGAGAGGTTGATTCAGAACGGTATAATGGTGACCAATAGCGAATAAATCCACCAGAGGTCACAAAAAAAATGTCCTCTGGAATATGTATTCATTGTAACAAGGCCTGTGGTGTCCTTGTTACATTTAGTATTGTCTTGATCATCGAACTCAAAATTAGATACATTTTGCATTGCACGTGAACGCAGTATTCTATCTGTTCCTGTAACTTCAGGAATTGATTTAGATAAAATGGTGATTTTAGTTGCAATAAAATCAAGCAGTTTAGTCTTCTTGACCCGGTCTTCTTGAGTGTAAGAATTAACATTGCATCCTGCACACATTAAGAATCCTCGGAGATCAATAGGTATGCCTGAAATAACAATCATCATTAAAAAATGTTTTAAATATAATTAAAATCTATTCCTAATGAAACAAATACTACTCTTACCTAACTCTGCTATTTGCTTGCCACAATCTAAACAGAAAGCCGACCCAGGTAACAATAGAATCTTGGCTTGCATTTATTCTTGAAGTAACAGGCTCATAAGTATCATCTAATCCAGGATATGTGAGCACATCACTTAACATATCTACCGCCTGTGCAGCAGTTTCAATAGGTATCCCAAGGTCACCTACCATGCCTAAACTGTGGTGGGAAATGTCTAAAGGAACCAAGGAATCATCAATTTGGAGATTTAGGGATTCAGATATCTGTGTGGGAACGGAAATCAGACCATTTGGGATTGGTGTCCCTTTCTGTTGCAATAGTGTCAAGGTCTTAACTAAATGTTCTCCAGAAACCCTAAGAGGAAACCTCAATAATCTCTGGGTCCCTCTTTTCCCATCAATAGTTTTAGCACTCTTGTCTAGAATTATGCTAGTTTTCAACAATCCCAAGTCAATATGCTTTTTAAAATCTAGACCAGTTTTCTCTAGCACTCGTTTCGGATGAATATTGACTGCAAAGTTGCCTTTGAATCCAAAAAACGATATAAGTTTGGACACCTCCACATCAGACATGTGACTCAGGCTATCAATTAGGTTAGAAACATTATCAAGGAATTCGTTCGAAGCAGGTATTTCATCCAAAATCTCTTCAACTTCTTCATCCTCGCTTGACCATTCTTGACCGATCATTAAAAAGTTTATCTTTTTCTTTCATCATAAATCACTGTAGATGCTGTCAATTGACTAACGTATAGTTACTAACTGACTTTTTCTTTCATCATAAATCACTGTAGATGCTGTCAATTGACTAACGTATAGTTACTAACTGACTGATCTAGTCACTATCCGGGCAACCCCACCCCATCGAACTCATTGCACCCGCCCCCCCCCGAAAACAAACACCTAACACCTTACTCCCCCCCGTCACCCTGGCTCCACATACACATTAACAATTTACAATTTACAATTTTCAATTTACAATTTACAATTTACAATTTATAATTTACAATTTACAATTTACAATTTACAATTTACAATTTACAATTTACAATTTACAATTGACTAATTAGTTTATTCAATATTAAAATAATGTCATTATACACTTAGGCATTTACAATTTACAATTTACAATTTACAATTTACAATTTACAATTGACTAATTAGTTTATTCAATATTAAAATAATGTCATTATACACTTAAGCATTTACAATTTACAATTTACAATTTACAAATCCTTAATTTACTTGTATTTTTTTATCCATAAACAACTACATTTCTAGTGAATTATACACAAATTATAATTTATGTATATATTACAATTTACAAATAGGTTGTAAATTTACAAATGACAAAGGAACATTACACTGGTCTCATACTGCACCCCCAACTAAAACAGCATTATCTTTCGCTTAGGCAGAGTAGGCGAGAGAAAGTCTTGACTGTACGATAATAATTTCATTTTCCCTTAGTTTGCCCTAGCGACCAACCAGGGCAAGAATCTGGGTTGGGTCAAAACAGCCAAACCATGTTTGTTTGGAAAACCGTAACCTCTCAACCTTGCTCGAATTAAAGGCAATTAATTTGGGTTTTGTGTACCAGCTGCCTGTGCCAGCTGTCACTCCGTGGAGCCCAAAGTTAAAACTACAAATATCTAAATTTTCGTGCTTAACTTTGGTTTTAAGATCAGATCAGCCCGATTTAACTTAGTTTTACTGATGCTCTCTCATATTGCTGCGAAAATGGCGACCAAAACAAAGATTTTTTACCGTGTGTTTCCAAAATCTAAAAGTAAATGTCTGAAATATGTTCAGTGATTTATGAAAAAGGTTATATTGATGGTAAATGAGGACCACGTACGACAATTGTTCGTCTTCTACGATGTGATACTCCTTCCTTGTATTTACACAAATTTATAATTTAACTGATAAGATTTCTTTATTAGCTTTTCAAGAG